AGGCAGGCAGGCAGGCAAGTGGTTAGGAGTTAGCAGTCCCAGATTGTGAGGAATGTCCGACTGCCGGAAGGGATTGGGCCAAAACCAAGAGTCAGTCATCCCCCGAGGGGTCCCAGATTGGAGAGGGTGCAGGCCTGGCTGAGGGACACCCCCACCCTGTGAACAAATTTTGTGCACCGGGCCTCTAGTCTATACTAATAAAAGTCTATGTGGTCATCACGCCCTCACGCCATGATGCCCTCACACGGTAATAATCCATCATCAGGAGGCTGTGTGTGCAGCGGGTGCACGCGGGTTGGCGGGGCTGCCTGCATGGTGAGGCACTCGCAGGTGGACAGGAACTTGATGCTGCATGCACGTTGTGCAGACGGGTCCCAGCTGCTCCGCGTGGTGACACTGGGGATCCCGGCAGCTCCACACGGAGCTGTGGAGGCAGGTCTCGGCAGTTCCACATGGCGCAGAGGTGGAACCCCTGGCTCCGGCCTACCTCTTTGGGGCAATCCATTGAGGAGCCCTGGATAGGTGGGCGGGGCCTACCTCTTTGGGGAGATTGATCTCGGGGCTCCCACACTGTAAGAGGGCACAGGCAAGGTTGGGGAACCCCCTCCCGAGTGCACGAATTTCCTGCACTGGGCCTCTACTCGTAGACATAAATGACTTCAGAAGGCTTGACAGATGTCAAGATAAACAACAGACATTTTGACCTCATCTCCAAGAATTATGCATGCCCTTCATAAAACTGAGAGAAGCCAAAAATATGTGACTAGTTGCTGAACAATATTTCCTGTCTTTGTTCTATAAAGCTACTGTGCTGGCTCTAGCCAGTTTGGACCAATGGATAGAGTATCAGCCTGTGGATTGAAGGATCCTGGATTTGATTCCAGTCAAGGGCACATGCTTGGGTTACAGACTCGATCCCCAGTGGGGGGCATGCAGGAGGCAGCTGATTAATGATTCTCTCCATTATTGATGTTTCTCTCTCTCCCTCTCCCTTCCTCCCCAAAATCAATAAAAATGTATATTTTTTAAAAAGCTGTTGTGCTGGATTAAGGTCTTTTGTGTCTATCACTAACTGCTGGTGGTGGAGCAGGAAAGGAAAAAAGAGAGCAAGAATATAGTTTACAGAGGTAGCAAAGACAAGTAAGGGAACTTTTATTCTTGTTGTTTTTAAGGATATGTGCTTACAGGCAAATGAATGAAAGAGTGGGAAATACCAGAGGAGACAACCAAGGAATCAAACTCCAGAAAGAACTAATATAGTTTGGGACAAAGAGCCCTGGTAGAGACATTAGTTTTAGAAAGAGATGAAAAGAAAGAGACCAATAGTGAAGATACAAACTTAGTTGGTGAACAGACTGTGGTGAGAGATAGAAACTGAAGAAAATGAAAGAATTTGACTCAGATGTCAATTTTCTCTGAACAGAAAATAAGTAAGCTCTTACTTCCAAAACAGAATCTGTGGTAGGGTTATGATCTAAAAGAGGGTTATGGTCTAAAATTATTACTTAAGAAAATATATTAGTCCTATATTTTGAAATTAATTTTCTTACTGGTTTAACACATGTAATAAAGCACTTAATTGAATGAATAGCCATCCTTCTCCATTGTTGGAATATTTTAAAGTCTGTATTATGTGGTCCCAATTTCCATATTATTTATATTCATGTCCAAGGAAATAAATACATACATAAATAAATGTATGTTGTATTTTTTAGAAAACTTAATATTTCTAAGGTAAATGAAACTACCATGGAGAACACTTTCTAATTACGTGTGAAAAACTGAATTTTCTTCATAAATTTTAATAAGACAGAATGAAATATATAAGAAACTACTTAAATAAACTTTACATCAAGGAAGTTGCAATATAAAACTAAACTATAATAAGCACCAGAGCACTTAAAAAGACACTGCTCCTACTAACAATTTTACTTACATCACAAGCACACCACTCTTGGAACATGAGTAAAATATTCTTCAATTGCATCTGTATGGCAATGGCAGCCTCCCAGTCAGGATCCACTTCTATATGTTGTCCAACCTGCCTTCTAATTTCTTCCATTCCCTGCAAAAAAAAAAAAAAAATGATTAACATAATGTGTGTGTGTGTGTGTGTGTGTGTATAGATAGATAGATAGATATATGCCCTCTTTTTCACTCCTCTACTATCAAAGTATAAAATTATCAGGATTCATATTCATATACTAGTATGCATAGCTTTTTGTTGTTGTTAATTCTCACCTGAGAATATTTTTATCATTGACTTACGGAGATAGTGAAAGGGAGGGTGGGTGAGGGAGGAGGAAGAGAGAGAGAGAGAAACACTGATGTGAGAAAGACACATGGGGCCCTTGACCAGGAACTGAACCTGCAACCTTTTGATGGGCAGGCTGATGCTCTAAACCAGTGGTTCTCAACCTTCCTAATGCCGCGACCCTTTAATACAGTTCCTCATGTTGTGGTGAGGACCCCCAACCATAAAATTATTTTTGTTGCTACTTCATAACTGTAATTTTGCTACTGTTATGAATCGTAATGTAAATATCTGATATGCAGGATGTATTTTCATTGTTACAAACTTAACATAATTAAAGTATAGTGATTAATCACAAAAACAATTATGTAATTATATATGTGTTTTCCGATGGTCTTAGGCGACCCCTGTGAAAGGGTCGTTCGACCCCCAAAGGGGTCGCGACCCACAGGTTGAGAACCTCTGCTCTAAACAGTGAGCGACACAGGCCAGCACCATAGGTGCATAGCTTTTTAACATGGCTGTTATACTAGGTCAGAATGCATAGATTCAATTCTCAGCTCAGTCACTTTCTAGCTGTGTGACCCTGATAAAATTATTTCTAAGCTTCAATTCCCTTATCTATAAAAAGGGAGGTAATAATAGTAACTACTTCATAAGATTGCTATGAGGTTCAAAGAGATAATTCGTGTAAAGTGCTTACTACAGTATCACAGAAGGCAGGATCAGTGAGGCAGTGTTTGCATTTTATTTCTAGGTTGCTAGATATATTCTTTTTGATATAAAAACCAAAATTTGCTAAGAAATATTAAAGACTCAGGTTAAATTTTTTTTAAATATATTTTTATTGATTTTTTACAGAGAGGAAGGGAGAGGGATAGAGAGTTAGAAACATCGATGAGAGAGAAAGAGAAACATCGATCAGCTGCCTCCTGCACACCTCCCACTGGGGATGTGCCCGCAACCAAGGTACATGGACTTGACCAGAATGGAACCTGGGACCTTTCAGTCCACAGGCTGACGCTCTATTCACTGAGCCAAACCAGTTAGGGCACAGGTTAAATTTTAAAAAATAACTTTATCTACTGGTGTACAGAACTGTACCATACCTGCATACAGGTAAGAATCTTCAGAAAAGACCGAAAACCTTCAAGGAATTGCATTTTTAATCTTTCTGTCCAGACGGTGGGCTTGCTGATTAGGATGTACCTACAATATTAAGAGACAAAGAAATATTTCACTTCCATATTTTGAGATAGTTTAAGGTACTCAGGGTTATAAACAATATTGGTTCATCAAAATTATGTATTATAATTTCTTATAATTAAAAGCTCTGGGCAGAGCTAGAATTATCCCAGCAATATGTGAATGTTCCAGAAGAGACAGATGTCAAAGCTAAGCCTGACTTCTCCACTCAAAAGGTAGTTCTGATTAAATCAACCCAGAAGCAACTTACCTTATCAGAGTTGGATAACTATAGTACAGATTTTTTAGGATTGTTTATACCCTTCACCCAAAGGCAAGTAAAAATTGCCTTCAGCCTCAAAATGCATGTCAAAACAGTGTGTGTAGAATACACGCTGTTTGTGCAGACAAATGATTTCAGAATATTTTTAAAAATATATATTTTATTGATTTTTTATAGAGAGGAAGGGAGAGGGATAGAGAGTTAGAAACATTGATGAGAGAGAAACATCAATTCAGCTGCCTCCTGCACATCCCCTACTGTGGATGTGCCCGCAACCAAGGTACATGCCCTTGACTGGAATCGAACCTGGGACCCTTCAATCTGCAGGCCAACGCTCTATCCACTGAATCACACCAGCTAGGGCTACTTAGTTCTTTAGATAATCTTTGGAGTATATAAGGTTGGTAAAATCCCATTTAAAAAATGAAGATACTAAGGCTCAGATAAATTACTTGCATCCAATGAAAAAAATGTGTATTGTGAAATGATTTCTCAGGAAGGAATCTAGCAATTATAAAAATTATTTTGCACTCAGTCAATCCCTATCAATTCCTGTTAAATATCACACATTGGGAACATAAACATGACCAAGACATCCTGTCCTTGAGGTCCTTCGTATACTGGGGAAAATAGATATGGATAGTGGACACTGCAATACAATGTTAAGCACTAAAAACAAAATAAAATACAAAGGAAGTAAAGTAGGAACATAAAAGACAAGGCAACAAAGATAGGAAAAATATTTTTTTACTTTGTAAAGATTGTAAGAATTGTAGTTTAATTCTCCCTTTCTCTAGATATCCATTAATATGTTAAAAATATAATCATACACTAATAACCTTTCAAAATTCCTCTTCCTCCCTCTCTCCCTCCTTCCTTCCTTCCTTCTTTCCTTCCAGGCTCACCTGAGGAGTGAGGATATTTTTTCTATTGACTTTTTTAGAGACAGTGGATGGTAGGGGGAGAGGGAGAGAGAGAAACATCCACGTGAGAGACACATCAATTGGTTGCCTCTTGCTCGCGTTCCAACCAGGACAGGGAATTGAACCCACAACTCTAACCATTGAGAAAAACTGGCCAGGGCTCTAAATCTTTTTTTAAAAATCTTTATTGTTGTCCTAACTGGTTTGGTTCAGTGGCTAGAGCGTCGGCCTGTGGACTGAAGGGTCCCAGGTTCGATTCCGGTCAAGAGCATATACCTTGGTTGCGGGCACATCCTCAGTAGGGAGTGTGCAGGAGGCAGCTGAATTGATGTTTCTCTCTCATCGATGTTTCTAACTCTCTATCCCTCTCCCTTTCTCTCTGTGAAAACTCAATAAAATATATTTTTTCAAAAATCTTTATTGTTGAGAGTATTACAGATGTGTGTCCCCCTGCCCCCCATTGTAAAGGTAAAAAAGACTAAAGTTTATGATCTTACAGTGAACAAATGGCATCAAAGTGTGCTTGTTTACCAGAGCACTGCTACTCAAAGTATGGCACACAAACGAAAAGCATGAGCATTATCTGGGTATTCTTTAGAAATGCAGACTCTTAGGCTCTAGTCAGACCTAGTGAACAAAACTCTGCATTTTAACAAGCTCCCCAAATGATTTGTATTCATAATAAAATTTGAGAAGCACTGTTCTAGAGAATTTATATTTCTAGTTTTTAGTAAACTCACATAGTTCATGCCTAGCAGACCTACCAAGTAGAGAAGATGTGAGGGATAAGAAGAGAGAAAAGAATAATGAAGGAAAGGAAAAGAAAAGGAGTCTGAAGATAAACATAGGTGGCAAAAGCAGTGGAAGGAGAAGAAGAAAAGCAAGGGAAGGATGGGAGAGTAAGAGGGTGATTTGGTTTGAGAGTCTACTATCCTTTTTAGAAATCGGAACAAGTTGCAGGGGTGAGGAATGTCTGGCCCATGGGCCATTATTATAAGGCCCTCAAAATCATGTGGTCTGGCCCTGCCAAGGCATTAGGGGTGAGTTAATGAAATATCTGACCAAATATAGCAGGCTAATTTTTAAGCTGATAATTTTTTTATGGCCCTTGAATTATGTTATAGATATTCAAATGGCCCTTGGCAGAACAAAGGTTCTCCATCCCAGGGTTAAAGTAACAAAAGAGTAATATTTACTTAATAGAACCAAAGTTCAACTGCATCTCTTTTCTACATTTCATTTTCACAGTGATTAGCAACTGAGAAACAAAGTATCTCACGAAATACCTCCAGAGAGTGAATGAGAAATGAAACTAAATTAATAGAGGTTTATTATTTAAAATGATTGCGGTATAGATCTAGGCAGTTTGGCTCAGTGGAGAGAGCTTCAGCCCGAGGACTGAAGAGTCCCAGGTTCAATTCCAGTCAAGGTCACAAACCTCAGGTGCAGGCTCGCTCCCTGGGCCCTGTGTTTCTCTCTCTCTTGTCTCTTCCCCTCCCTTCCACTCTCTCTAAAAATCAATAGAAAAATATCCTCAGGTGAGGATTAACAAAAAAAGCAAAACACAAAAACAATAAAAAGTAAAATAAAATGATCCCAGTATAACAATCCCTTCCTTCTATTATGCAGACCTCAGAGTACTGTGTTCATTTATTCACTACTAGCTTAAATGTTATACATTCAGCTAGAACTGGTTTAGTAGAGAAGGACAATAATTTAGAAGGAATTTTAAATATGAAATGAATATGGCTAAGGAAACTAATGAAACTCAACCAGTGAAGATTTGGCAGGTAAGCCTGCTATCTTCAAGTTAAATGAGAATTGAAGTTCTGAATGGACAAAGGGAATCATAGAACTACAGAAGGAAAGCTACAAAAAAGACAGAGTTCAATATAAAATAACGAACTTGTAACAGCTGGACGGGGCTACTCAACGGGTGGAATACACTGGTTTGAGAGAATGAAAATTTTCTGAGGCAGACTTAACAGAGCTTCTACTAGTACTAACAAACATTAAATGCTACAGTCAGATTAGTAGCATATATGGTAAGACTATGGAGAGCTACAAATTCTGAAAGAATTTAGACTTTATTCTAGAAACAATTAAAAGACATTAAATATTTGTGGTTATTTCTGATTTAAAAGCCGGGTTCAGAAAGAAGTGGCAAATAAATAAATCTATGCGGAAAGAGTAAAAATAAGATATGACTGCAAAATTTCTACTAAGAATGACGGAGAAAATGGGATTCAATAGCTATTTGTTAAATGAAGGGTATATCTGATTGATGTTTTAGGCTAACTTTCAGAGAAGTTTTATTGATATTTATTTTGTGAGGCTAAATGATGAAGTGAAAAGAATTTGAGTTTTATAGATAAAACAGTGCTGGGCTCAGATCCAAGGTCTGCTACTTACTAGCTCTGTGACCTTAGGCAAATAATTATAATCTAGAAATAAAATTAAATCACCTAGCTTATGAGAATGTTGCAAGAATAAAATAAGGCGAAATAAGTTAAGCTCCTTAGCACATAACAGTTACTAAAAAAGAACAGAAGCTAGGCTGGTGTGGCTCAAGAGTTGAGCACTGACCTATGAACTAGGAGGTCATGGTTCAATTCCTGGTTAGGGCACATGCCCGGTTGTGGGCTCGGTCCCCAGTGTGGGGCGTGCAGGAGATGGCTGATCAATGATTCTCTCTCATCAGTGATGTTTCTCTCTCGCTCTCTCTCTCTCTCTCTCTCTCTCTTGCTCTCTCTCTCTCCCTTCCTCTCTGAAATAAAAATATATCTTTTTAAAAAAAGAACAGAGGACACTCGTGAGAGTGAGTTACAAGAGAAGCCTAGAACAGTATCTGTTGGACAGGTGCTCAAAATATGTTCACTTTCCCTTTTCCTTGTATTCAGAGATATCACTATTTAGGTAAGGATGTAGAAGAGAACTTGTAAGCATCAAAAGAGTAGGAAAACTTTAAAGTTGCCTTCCAAACCAGGATCTCTTAAAGTTTTATCATATGGGTATGCAGGGATGTCCTGACTCTAAGTTATTCATCATAAAGAATAACTATAATCAGAGATCCATAAAATAAAATATGATGAGACAATGATGTGATAATGCATCTCTTCTCTGGATATAAAAATAACTCAGTTACAAGAGTACTTCACAGTGAGAGCCACAGTAAAGAGATTTTTACTGTACAGTAGACCAAAAAATGATGAATATACTAATTTAACACTGATAATTATAAGCACTCCATTGGAATTTTTGTACATTTTTTGTTTGTTTTGCCTAATATATAATTTATGCAGAATTTGTGAGTCACAATAGCTAAATGGTGACTTACTACTGAATTCTTCCACCATCTCGACTTGTATTGAAGATGTAATAACATAATAATTTACTGAACTTTAAAGAAAGATTTGTACGTCATAATCATATTCAGAAATTGAGGAATTTCAAAAGGTCTGGAAGCATTTTCCTCATCAAGGATCCAAGGCATACTTCCAGAAATCTTTCAAATGTATTTTTAAAATAGATTCAACTATTTCTAGGTTGGTTTGGAAGTCTATTTGTTTCCATCTCTCTATACCCTACAATGTACCCTACATGGTCACTAGAAGAAGGGGACAAAATTTGATTTTTCTCCCTCAGGACTAGAAATAATTATGTCGTGGAGCCCTTCATTTTAAAAAGCAAACTAAATGAAATATATTTTATCTTAATATATTCTAAAAGAAAAGAATTTTTTGAAGTTTATGAATTATTGAATAGTTGATATTACAACCCTTATAATATTCACCATTTATTACTAAAATAAATTCCCTTTTAGGTCCAACAATCCCAAGATTTATCATGTGATTTCCATTTTAGTTTAAAAAGAAACTCTCCACTTTCTTCAAGGAGAAAAACTTAAGAAACCACTGATGAATATCAATAACTTGGTTACATGCATGAAAAAGGGAGTTAAAACAAAATTCACACCAACTAAAACATCTGAAACTATGCCCGAAGAGACTATACAAGAGGGACAGAACCAAAGTACAGAAGTGGAACTAAGTGGAGATTCATTTACTGACCCTAAGTTACTGTGACAGGCCCCTTTTTTATTAATTTGGTTTTAACTCTATAAGAAGCCTTCACTTAAAACATTTATTGACATGAGACAGTAAGAGTTCTTTTTACTTCTCATTATAATAAGTGAATCTTAGATAACCAAAAGCATCAGAGGTTTACTTACAAGACAGAATAAATAAGCAGTGTGTTTAATAAGTACCTTCACCTTTTGACTCGAACAACTTACTTTAGATCACATATAACAGCATATACTCGTCCCAATTTGTCCTGGCTATAACCCTGGAAGTTGAATTTGTTGTTCCTATCCAAGTACTCAGGCAAAACTTCTAGCAAAGTTTCAGTAATGACAGAAATAACATTCTGCTCTTCAATAAGATGTCGAGCCTGCAGAATATTTCAAGATGTTGTCTTTAGTATTAACTTATTTGGTTGGTCAGTAAGTCATTTTTAATATGTTTACTGAACATCAAACACAGTCCTTAGTCTCACAGAACAGCAATTTCCGAGAAGCTATTTTCTAAAAGTAAACAATTCCCTATTCCTCAATAACTAGGAAACACCTGTCTGGACACTCCAAACCCATCACTAAGGTTATTTATATAATGCTTACCATAGGCAATCACACAACGAACAAAAGTAGAACAATCATAGATATACTTCATAACTTCTGTCACATTACTATTTATTATGGCACATCCCCCTAACTCCCAGCCACTATCTCTTCCCATCCCTTTCGCTGGACTTTGAAACGGGAAAGTATAGTTAGCCAAACTGTCCAAAAGAAATAGGAAAAAAAGTAGTACAAAAAGAAAGCAGAATCCTCTACTCTCCTCCCAGGTCTATGCAGCACTATTATCTCCCACAATACTGGAGTCATACCCTGCACCTGCTTTATCTTTACTCACCCCAATAATTAAAGGACAACAACAACAAAAAAAGCAAAAAAAAAAAATGGTATTGAAAAGACATTGCTCCTACGTTACTCTTAAAACTGAGAAATAAGCTCTGGAATTCACGGATCAGGACTTTAAGACAAAGGTAGTGCCATCATTCCCACTTCACAAGTTACCTTGTCTTCGGATATCATTAATATATTATTCACATGCAGATACCACTTAAGTATTATTCAATTTTCCAGATGAAATTAGCCCAACAAAATGATTTTGACATTGTTTTGCATCAACACTAAGCAAAATTCTTAAAAAACAAAACAAGTTTTACTTAGAAAGATTGCAAAGAAATTATTAATACATACCAGAGTAGGAACAGTAAACATCTGAACTGACAGTGCAGTTATAGAGATACTTCTATCATGATCATCACTGATATATTCTTTCTGCAGCTGTTTATAATACTGAAAGATATAATAAGCAATAAGTGGAGAATCAATTAAAAATGACTACTGAAAACTTAAAAATCCCAATTTTAACAGCTGCTGCAAATCTGTTTCTATATATAAGATGACAAGTATAATTCCTATTTCTTGATGGGAAATAATATGGTCAACAAAAATATATTAGAAAGAAAATAATGAACAAGAGACCAAATATGAATTCAACTGCCCAATCTCACAGAGTTGGAAGTGAGAACTATAAAAAATGCAGCCCTTGCTGGTATGTCTCAGTGGTTAGAGCATCAGCCCACTCACCAAAAGGTCACGGGTTTGATTTTTGGTCAAGTATTCAATTCCCCGGGCATGTGCAAGAGGCAACCAATCGATGTGTCTCTCTCACATCTCTTTCTCCCCTCCCACCTTAGTTCTCCCTCCCTCCCTCCTCCTCTTTCTAAAAATTAATGGAAAAAATATCCTCTGGTGAGGCTTAAAATAAATAAATAGATGTTAAAAATAAACAAACAACAAAATGCACAAAACACACAAACACAGGTAAAAAATCACAGAGGACTGCAATGGTGCAGTATATCCTTCCTCCAAGTAGGATCTGGGGTAATCGCTAGCAAATTCTATCCCAATGGTATAGGCCATGGCCTATATTCCAAGTACTTATAAACTGATATGACCCAGAAAACCAACCAATCAGATTCAATCTAGCCTTAAACAGAGTGGATGCTGACTGTACATAATTTCTTATCCATATTGGTGCACACCAGCTGAAAATAAACCCTGACATATTGGGAGACCAAAAATAATACATTCAGTCATGTATCAAGCATAGTGTTAGATGCTTAATCTACATATTTAATTTTATCCATTAGAATTCCCATAGATTTAAGAGGTACCCAGTGCATACAAAAAATATCATCTTAGTAAAGAGAACTGATTTTGTATAAGAAAATAATTTCCTTTCAGATTACACATATGGTTCAATATTGTATCTCTAAAGAATTTTAGAAAAATAGAGCTGACAACCTGAATTGTTATCACCTTTCAAGAAACCAAATGTCTTAGTTACTTTTAACAATCTACTTCTAAAATCCAGGGAGTGAAGGATCTTACCCTACAGTATCATTTGCCTTTAACAATCATTATTTCACTTTCTGCTTCCAGTTCTATCCTGGGTCCTACCCCTGCCTTGTTTTAAGTTTTACAGAACTGCCTGCAATTCAGTATCAAAGGATCCTAACAAGTAGTTATTAGATACCTAACATAAGGCAAAACAGAACTCTGGCCCATATAATTCCTGCCTCCCTTTAGCATTCTTTTTTTTTAAAAAAAAACACATATATTTAATTTATTTCAGAAAGGAGGAAGAGGGAGAGAGAGATAGAAACATCAATGATGAGAGAGAATTATTGATTGACTGCCTCCTGCACACACCCTACTGGGGATCGAGACTGCAATCTGGGCATGTGCCCTTGACCAGAATCGAACCTGGGACCCTTAAGTCCACAGGCCGATGCTTCATCCACTGAGCCAAAGTGGCCAGGGCCCTTTAGCATTCTTATATGTTCCTTTTCCCTGCTATGACTTTCAACTAGTCACTTATAGTCTTATTATATTAACAGGCAAATGATTAGAAAGGATGAATGAACGTGATAACTTCCTATTGTTCTGTCTCAGCAAATAATAGGTCATTTCCCACCTTTCTCCTCTACCAGACTGTTTCCATACTAGCAAATGTGAAAATAAAAAACTGTTTGACAAAGAAATGAATCATAAAATTAAATTCTGGATTCATAATTATCCCCTTTGTTTCTATTACTTCATTTACAAAAATGTTTTCTATTTCTGTTTATTGATATCTATTTATAAAGAGCAATTACCTTTACAAATTCCATAGCAAAGAATTTTTTGTATTCCATCTCCATAAAAAAACTGCTGAAGATCAATTCGTGAAGGATCTTACGGGCACCTATAAATCATTTTTGGGGAAAGTGGGGTAGTATCACCAAGGCAAAAAAAACATTCCAGCTATTAGAAGTGGCAAAATATTATAAAATTATTTCACATGCTAGTAGACCTCAATGACTCAAATATGAGTAGTATTTATTATATTATTTAATAGATAGAATTTAAAATATATACATATATGGCCCTTTTCCTCTTTTTCTGTAGTCTTCTCACTACTTTATCTTACTTCATTCTACCTCTCGCAACATTTCTCCACTCCTTTTCATTCTATTTCACTCAAAACTACTTACTCTTTATTCTTCCCTTTTCCATCCCCTTTAGCCTTTCTCTCTTATCTTTCACTTTTTGTTCTTTGTTTAGATTTATAAAAATTAATATTAGTACAACTTTAATAATGGCACTACATACATATACATACTTCTTTTACTCATCCTGACTAAACGAAAAGGCACTATAATTAAAAGGCAGTATACCCAAGTTTCAACATAGAAGAATACATATTGATTGGTTGATCTTACCTTAATGTTTATCTTATAAACCAAGATCACTGATAATAGTAAACAAAAGAGATCATAGCTCCACTTGAAGGTCATAATCTCCCTTTGCTTCATAGCAAACAGCATAAGCAAAGATCCACCTACCTTTATAAAGCTTTGCATCCCAAAGCATTAGCCTGCTTATGAGACAGGGATTCTCAGAGCCAGGTTCTTCTCTAAGACATGCTTGGCAAAAGATCTGTCTAAAATCACCTACAAAAAAAAGTCATCACATAATTTTTATTCTTATAACATTTCTCCCAAAAGTATGTTTCCTATAGCATGTGAAAAAATTAACATTAATCTTCGCACATTTGATAACAAGGACAATTCTGTCAACATCATAGAATCAAGAGCCAATAAAGTATTATTTACAGTACTTGAAATTCATTTCTGAAAATTAATCAAAATCTATGAATAAAAGCAATTTTATTTTATACTTAATATTTTTGATTTGTAGCTATTTAAAAAAACAACACAGTATTAGACTATACGCTTACTTGAATAGCTCATAATTTTGTTCATCCAGGAGCCAAGACGTAAAGCAAATTTCTGATGAGCCATAACCTCAGAGTGTAATACTTCTACATGAAGTGGATGTTGAGAGACATTTTCTGAATGACTCTACAAATAAAAGGAATATAAAAGAAAACCCTAATTTTAAAAGTTTTGTTTTAATTAAGTAATCTATTCTTTAAAAAATAAATTACATGACTACTGCAGTTCCAAATCTCTGGGTCCAAATACATCAACCCTATCTTTACTTAGGATGCGAAACCCATTTGAAAAAGATAGTAGTTTTACATGTGCATTCCTCTTATGTTCTCTTTGTCCCTAATTCAGAAAATTACCTTTATATCTTCTTTTGCTTCCTGGCAAGCAGCAAAAGCACCTGCTTTAACAGCCCGACGACCCTAATAATAGACAAACATGAGAATTAAATAGCAGAATGACAATCCAAATCAATTAGTAATATATAGACCAAAAATCTAATCAGTTCTTAATTATTAATCATTTGTCAACTGCCTAAAAGTTAAAAGATGAATGATAAACACAAGTGTTTAACACCTTCGGGTAGCTCCGGAACTTTTTAATACCACTAGTAGAGAATTTCTATACTTTAGGATTTTAGATTTCCTGCCTAGCAAGATGTCAGTTCTTTACTTTTTGTAGTGTACTCAATTTCCATCTGATAATAATAACTGAAGTTTAGTAAACTCCTGCTATATGCTTTAAATATTTCTCATGCATAGCCCCAGCCAGTTTGGGTCAGTGGAGAATGTTGGCTGGCGGACTGACGGGTCTCAGGTTTGATTTCGGTCAAGGGCACATGCCTGGGTTGCAGGCTTGATCCTGAGTAGAGGGCAATCAGGAAGCGGACAGTATTGATCCTCTCATGATTGATGTTTTTTATCTCTCTCTCCCTCTCCCTTCCTCTCTGAAATCAATAAAAATAATAAATAAATAAGTAAATAAATAAATAAGTACTTCTCATGAATAACTAAAAGTTCCTCAGCATGTGTTGCACAACACATTTAAGATCCACTAGTGGGTGAAAGGTGTGGCCAGGATGTTGTTTCCTCAGCCCTGGAATCACTACATTAATTACTAATGCCATGCTGCTTCTTTCACTATATTATACTCCTCTTTAGGGCAGGATTGTGTTAAATAGTCTTTCTATATACCTGAGGAACTCATTGCTTTGGATGGAAATGAAATAAAAGCTGAGCCATAAATGAATATTATTCTAAAAATAGTTTTAATGAATGTTAAAATCTCAGAAATATCCATTTTTAATAATTCACACATTTATTCATTCATTCAATAAAAATTACAGAAACGGACTGAAGTTGAGCCAACATTCTTTACTCTTTGCCAAATACATTCAGCCACCTAATTACTTAGACTAAAAGAGGAAAGTTATAGTTATCTACAACTATGATACATACATAGTAAGGTCAAGTTTTAACCAGTTTGTGTAGGATATAAGAAATGGGTGAAAAGATGGTTGTACCTAACACAATACTAGGGCACTTGGCAAAGCTCAGTCAACACCTAACTTCCAGGAACTGATATTAGACAGTACAATAATTCAAATGAAGCTCACAAACCTCTTTGTCTATGGCAGTGGTATGCAACTGGGCCTCTGCAAGCTCACAGTCAAGAGCTCTTTGTAGACTGTATATGACATGGTCATATGAATGGTGTTCGTCATTAAAAAGGACACAATAGTATCTTTCATTTTTCTCCCTGTTTGAAAAATAAGATAAGCATTCAGATATTGCAACAAATAAACAAAAGAAAATATGAAAAATAGATTAAAATAATATGACATTTGTACCAAAGCAGCATTGTGTAAGTTCATACATATGAGAAAGTACCACTATAATACTCATATAGGAAATTATTTTAAGTAGTACAGTACTGTGGAATTTTAAAAACCCTAATAAAAGTATTACCTTTTCCATGTCTTTTCCCCAACTTTTTTTAAATCACTTCCAGATACAGATTATTATTATCAGGTTTTTTTTAACTTTCTTAAAATATATTTTTATTGATTTTAGAGAGGAAGGGAGAGAGAGAGATAGAAACATGAATGAAACAGAATCATTGATTGGCTGCTTCCTACACTCCCCCTACTGGGGACCGAGCCTGCAACCTGGGCATGTGCCCTGACTGGGAATCTAACTGTGACCTCCTGGTTCACAGGTCGATGCTCAACCACTGAGCCACCCTGGCTGGGTGTAGATTATTATTGTCAGTTTAGTGACAGGAACACATTGAAAGAGGAAGGGAGAAGGAGAGAAAGAAACATTAATGATGAGAGAGAATCACTGATTGGCTGCTTCCTGCATGCTCCTCACTGGGGTTTGAGCCTGCAATCCGGGCATGTGCCCTGACTGGGAATTGAACCATATCTCCAGGTTCATGGGTTGATGCTCAACCACCAAGCCACACTGGCAGGGCCATCAAATATTTTTTAATCTTAAAGGCCTGGGCTAAAGGGAGACACTGTGCCCAAGTCCCTACCTTTGTTCACAACCTCCTGGGAACCTAAAGTTGCTCCAGGCCAGGGTAATGGTTTTAATACCACTCTTCCTAACTTCTCATCTTGACAAAGGAAGAAATGCCTCAGACTCAGAACCTTCAAGCAGGCAATAATACTAACATTTTAATAACATTTAGTTCTTATTGAATTTATTTTTGTTTTACCTTATATTTCTGATTTTACAGTACATTTAAGCTTTTTTAAGTATATAGACTTAAAGTGCAGGCACTACCATTTGACTGAATGAGGGACCTTATAGACATCTGGGTGGCTTAGGCTTTTAGACTTGTTGATATGACAATGCCTCTTCCATCTCTAAGAAGAGTATAATGTCTACATTTGAGAGTGGTGTGAGGATCTTATAAAACATGTGAAAATAGTTGTCATGGGCTACACAAATTTAGATGTTATCAGTTTTCAACAGTTTATATAATATGCTTTTACAATGCGCTCAATTATTAATCCTCATAACTCTAACAGGAAGATTTTCTTGGGCCTCTTATAGCTTAGGATATGGAAGCTCAAAAGGATTTCTTCATGGTCACAATGCCAATAAGCAGTGAGAAGAACAGAACTCAGATCTGTGAATGTGAAGTCCGATGCTGCCTTCATACACATCCACACTCAAGCAACTCTCCCTTTTTAGGCAGGCAGATTGCTAACCAGTATTTTGTTGACCAACACAATTCTTACACGAGTTTAACTGATGCTATCACATATTTGGAATTAAAACCTTTGTGGACATAATCTCTGATGACCTATATTTTCCCTAGCAGTTTATGGCCCAGCAAGAGTAAAACAATGTTTATTGTCTTTATAAACTTAAATTCTTAATTTTCTCTCCTAAAATAAAACAAACCATAAAACCTAGTAAATTCAAAGAATAATAATAGATTTGTGATTAGATTTATCCACAAGGCCCAAATTATATCTTCGTATCAGGTCTGGAATCCCCTTTTGTATTTGTAAGTTAAGAGCAAATATTATAGTCTTGGAAAGACTTATTTATGCCTATTAGGAATTCCTGGATTTGGGGCTTAAAGATGTTAAATATCTACAACTGAAATAATCCTAGATACCAAAGCACAGGGCAAAGGGCCAATTCCTAATTCCTGCCAACAAACGTATTTTATTGTTGTTTTTTAACAACCCATCCGAGGAACACACTGAGAGGGGGAGAGGGAGAGAGAGAGAGAAAAATCAATCAATGATAGGAATCACTGATTAGCTACCTCCTGCATGCCCCCGACTGGGAATTGAGCCCGCAATTTGGGCGTGTGCCCTGACTGAGAATCAAACCATGACCTTCAGGTTCATGGGTTGATACTCAACCACTGAGCAACACTGGCCGGGCCATCAAACATTTTTTAATCTTAAAGACCTGGGCTAAAGGGAGAGACACTGTGCCCAAGTCTCTACCTTTGTTCACAAACCTACTGGGAGCCAGGAAGTTGGTCCAGGCCAGTATCAAACTGGGCAACTTACTTCCCTACTGGTATAACTGGCTGCTAGGGACTTATGAATTATTTAGAACATAACCCTGCAAATAGTTTTTTTTGTTTGTTTTTTTCTTAAAAATCAGAAGATTCTTACTAGGTTCTTCTTTTTGGCTTAACTTCTGTTAGCACCTAGCAGAACATCTCATATAAATGGACATTTTGAAAGTATTCCCAAAAGACGATTCTCTACAAAATTTGCATAATGGTAATAAATTAAGCAGTAAATAACAAAAACATTCTTCCAACACTTATTTTGCAATATAAGTAACAATCAGTAAAATTTATAGGTTTTGAAAAATTTCCCCACCTTATTTGGAGTTCAGAAGGCAGTTCTTTTTCCTCTTCCCATATAGTCATTTCTACAATGTATTTTATCACTGAAGGGAACATTTTCCTGGCTTGGGCAATTACCTCTTCATTCAATGAACAACGTAAATTCTGTAAGAAAGCAGAGAAAAACACACTACCAACATTGTACACAAATAAAATGGATAAAGAAGATAGTGTTATCCTATCTAATAAAAGAGAAACATGGTAATTAGTGTACGACCGCTACCCTGCCCATTGGCTAATCAGGGCAATATGCAAATTAACTGCCAGCCAAGATGGCGGCCAGCAGCCAGGCAGCTGGAAGCGAACATGAGGCTTGCTTGCTTCAGTGATGGAGGACTCCAAAGTTCCCTGCCTGACTTGCCTGCCTCTCAGCTGCAACTCTAAGCAACTATGTTGCGAATAAAGAAGCTAAAAATACCCCAGAAACCTGCTTTACTCAGTGGAGCTTCAGCCAGCAGGACTGCAACATGGTATCAAATACAGAAGGTAAACAAAGGCCAGAAACCTGTTTTCAGCAGCCGAGTCCTCAGAGCTAAAGCTGACCCAGAATAAAAAAGAAAAAAAAAGAAAAAAAGGAGCGGTTGGGAGCTT